GTACTTATCTTCGAGTGGCTGCATAACCCATAGGAAAATTTCACATTCTTGGATTCTTATCGTGCGTTTTGTGTATTCTAGTAACTAAACATCTGTATTTCATTCTCTCACAGATGGTGAGGACTCGTTCTACCGGTCAAGAGGGTCAGCCACCAGTTCGGGCCGCAAGAGGCCAAGGCCGCGGTAGAGGCCGTGGTAGGGGCAGAGGTGCAACCCGTACAGCAGCGGGACAGTACCTGCGGATCCACCGGTTGTCCCAGATCGGGACCAGGTTCCAGTTGTTGATGCACCAACTCAGGCACCACCTGTGCCTATTGTGATTCCTGGCCTTCAGGAGGCCCTAGCTCAGATTCAGATAGCGTGTACCGGCCTTGCTCAGGCGGTCTCTATATTGACGGTCGCAGCCACTTCTCAGATTGGGTGTGGCACTCAGTCTCCCATTGGTCGCAAACTCGAGCAGGTTGTTCAGGGAGTTCAGACACCAGAGGCACCACCAGCCCAGCCTGTTGTAGCTGCACAGGATTATGTGGTTCCTGCTATGACTGAGGATGATCAGCGTATGTTGGAGAGGTTTGGGAGACTTTAGCCGCCACCTTTTAGTGGCACAAAGAGAGAGGACGCTCAGGATTTCTTGGACAAGTGTCAGAGGATACTCCGTACTGCTGGTATTTTGGAGACTTGTGGGGTCTCATTCACTACCTTTCAGTTTTCTGGGGCTGTACTCAGATGGTGGTAGACTTACGAGAGGCGTAGGCCTGTTGGCGCAACACCCCTTACTTAGCAGCAATTATCTGTTCTTTTTCTGGAGAAGTTTGTAGCTGAGTCCCGCAGAGAGGAGCTCTGCAGGCAGTTTGAGCAGCTTCGCCAGGGTGAGATGTCTATTACACAGTATGAGATGCGGTTCTCCTAGTTAGCTCGTTATGCGATCTGGTTGGTTCCCACAGATCGAGAGAGGATCAGGAGGTTTATAGATGGCCTTGGTTTTCAGCTTCGATTGCTTATGACCAGGGAGAGAGTATCTGGGTTACCTTTGATGAGGTTGTCGACATTGCTCGACAGATTGAGATGGTTCGAGGTCAGGAGAGGGCTGAGAGGGAGGCTAAGAGGCCTCGTGGTCAAGGTGGTTTCGGTGGTGCTCTTCAGAGAGGTCAGTTTCAGTAGGACCAATTTCAGCAGGGCCAGTCATTATTCAGTGCATTGCCAGCACAAGGTTCTCAATATGTCTCGCCCGCTCAGGTATCGTTGGGTAATTCGTTTGGGCATCAGGAGCAACAGTTTCATCAGAGGAAAGGTTGTTTCGAGTGCGGGAATTTTGGTCACATTGCGAGATATTGCCCTAGGATGTTGGGTGGGACTCCACAACGGAGTACTCAGCCTCCGACTACAGCACCAGTTACCTCACCACCAGCCCAACCAGCTAGGGGTGGAGTTCAGCCAGCTAGGGGTGGTGCCCAGTCAGCTATGGGTCGCCCGAGAGGGGGAGGGTGATCAGGGGGTGGTCAGGCCCGTTTCTATTCCCTCCCAACCAGGCTAGACACTATTGCTTCAGATGTTGTGATTTCAGGTATGTTCTTCTGTTAGACTCGTTCGAGGACGAACGTTTATTTAAGAGGGGGAGAATTTAACGACCCAGCCAGTTGTTTTGAATATTATAAGCCCATTCCCCATTTACTACTTCTATATGTGTTGTTCAGCTGTATTGAGTTATATTGGGATAGTTGGTTTGGGACCAGAATAGTTTCAGAGTGAATTGAGACACTTAGTCTCTTAAGTATAAACTTAAATTGGAAAAGTCAACCGGATATTGACATATGTGTAAACGACCTCGGATTTGAATTCTGATGGTTCTATTAGCTCTGTTAGGTAATTTTGGACTTAGAAGTGCATCCGGAATATGATTTGGAGGTCCGTGGTAGAATTAGGCTTGAATTGGCGAAATTGGAAATTTGGCGATTTCGATCGGCAGTGGAAAATTTGATATCGGGGTTGGAATGGAATTCCGGAAGTTGGAATAGGTTCGTAGTGTCATTTTTGATTTGTGTGCAAAATTTGAGGTTATTCGGACGTGGTTTGGTTGGTTTCGGCACTGGTTGCCTAATTTGGAAAATTTAGAAGTTCTTAGGCTTGAATCCGAGGGTAATTTGATGATTTGGTGTTGTTTTGAGTGATTTGAAGGTTCGACTAAGTTGGTATGTTGATATATGACTTGTTGGTATTTTTGGCTGAGGTCCCGAGGGACTCGGGATGATTTCGGATAGGTATCTAGGTGTTTGGAAGTTGGAAAATATAGCTGGAAGCTGCTGGTGTAAGGCTACTGGTGTGGCCGCATCTGCGGATTTTGAGCCGCAGGTGCGATGATCACAGGTGCGGATCGCATGTCGCAGATTCGGACATGGAGACCTAGGGCATGGTCGCAGATGCGAAGAGTGGATCGCACCTGCGGGCTCGCAGGTGCGAGGAAGCTGTCGCAGGTGCGAAGTCTGATTTGTTAAGTGGAATTCGCAGGTGCACAGCTGTGTCCGCAGATGCGGAAGCGCAGGTGCGATGAAGGGCACGTAGGTGCGAAAACCTGGGCAGAAACCATAAATAGAACCCTTCGCGATTTTTGGTGCATTTTTCACCATTTCTATCCGGTTTTGGAGCTTTTGGGACATATTTGAAGAGGGAATCAAGGGGGTTTCGTTGAGGTAAGTTACTTGAGCCCTAATACTTGTATATATGGTGATTTTCCGTTGTTTAACCATGGTAAATAGTGAAAATGAGGGGTTAGGGCTTGGAAATTTTGCTGAGTAATTTAAGGATTTGAAGGACCAAATGATGTCGGATTTTGATGAATTTGGTATGGTTAGACTCGGGAGAGGACAAGGTTTATTATTCTGCCATTTTTGACTGATTTTGAGACGTGGGCTCGGGGGGTCGGGTTTGAGCCAATTTTGGGTTTTGGTCTAATTTGATAGTTATTCTTGTGGAATTCATTCTATTAGCGTATATTGATGGTAATGTATCGACTGTGAATAGATTCAGAGCATTTGGAGACCGAGTCCAGAGGTGAGGGCATCTATGAGTAGGATCTTTACGCTGTTAAGGTAAGTAACAGTTTTAACTCTTGCTTTGAAGGTATAAACTCGGAGATTTGACATCACGTGATTGTTTGGAAGTGATACCCACGCTAGGTGACGAGCGTGTGGGTGTGCACCTTGAGGGATTGTGACTTGGTCCATCTCATGAGGCTGTGAGGCCTAATGGCTATTATCTGTGGTTACGTGTTTATTTGTTGTTGAACTTGTTTGCCTTCATGTTAGAGATCATGATTAGGCTTTATTGATGCTCACATTATTTGTACTCAGTCATAGAAATTATTGTACATGTTTACCTTAGTCTCTATTAATTGCTAATACGCGGTGATACTTGATGTGGGTTGTGTTCCCTTATTGTTGATGATGGTGAGGCTAGTGAGGTACATGATTGAGTGAGGCCGAGAGCCTGATTGTGAGGATATTAATACCATAGCGCGTGAATTGTCCGCGTAGCACGTGAGTTGACCGTGCGGGTTCGGGTATTGATACCATAGCGAGTGAGTTGTCCGCGTAGCACGTGAGTTGATCGTGCGGATCCAGGTATTGATATGATGGCATGTGAGTTATCCGTGCTTAGCGCTTGGGATTTGGGAGCCCCTCCGGAGTCTGTACACACCCCCAGTGAGCGCATAGTGTTGAATGTTTTGAGTATTGAGTGCTGATTTGCGAATTATGAGTGATGGAGTGACACTGCTGTGAGGTCGGATTTATTTGTGTTGTTGTTGCATTTATCTGTTAAACTTCTTTGTGGTATTTACTGAGTTATGGAATTTACCTGTTTATTTTTAAATTGTGAAAAATAAATAATTGGACTGTTTTACTTAGTTCGTCACTATTGCTCAGTTCCTTAGTTATTTTTGTTACTTGCTGAGGTGGCTGTACTCATGCTACACCATGCACTTTATGTGCAGATTCAGGTCAGTTAGAGCACGGTGATCGTTGAGTTCAGGTCGGCTATCTGTGGATATTGCAAGGTAGCCACTAGCGACCGCAGGACCTTGTTACTCCTTTTATCATTTCTTCTTTTGGATTGTATTGTCAGTTAGACAGTTTCATTTCTTAGTTCATAGATTTAGACGCTCATGGCTTAGAGACACCCCGATGTTTGGGGCTCGTTTTCGTATTTCAAAAATTATATTTAAAGTTGATTTCGTTTATGAGAAATTCAAATGTTGAAATGTTTTATTAAATTATTATAATCGAGTTAGTAGTAATATTTTTGGAAATAGGCTTGCCTTGTAACACGATCGGCGCCATCACGACCACTGTTAGATTTTGGGTTGTGACAACAAAGACTATGGGTAGATGGAATGGTTCGTTGCAGTTGTCACTAGTGACATTATTCCAACAACGGCTTCATCCTTTTCGGCTGCTTGGAACCGCTCTCGTAAGTTCTCTTTAATACATCTTTTGGTACTAAATATTCTTCCATGCTCGTATTAATCCTTCAACCTTCGTTTGTTACAGCGACTTGATGTATCCCACAAGTGATAAAAGGCTTGGACCGGTGGGTTCAAAAGATCTTGGACATCAAAATGCCCGAAACCCATTTGTGGAAAGAACTGTCCATTAAATACAGGTGGAAGGCCAAAAATCACGGTAACTTTAATTTACCTTTTTTCCACCTTTTGTATATGAAGAACTTGGTTGAACCCTTCCGACATGCTCACGAAATTAGGTCTACCTGCATGCTCATTTGATGTCCCCGAGGAGGATGTTATGGTTGATCATGCTGATGCGGCGAGGCTGCTTCAGGAGGCACTTACTCGAATAGGCGTCTCCGGGCCTGCTTCGGGCGCAAACATTTCTCTACGGACTCCACGGCCAAAGAACAAGCAACCAAAATGAAGATGTTCCTCTGCGGCCGGGGAAAAGAATAAGAGGCTAAAGGTTGATGCCCCAGAGTCATCTCCGGTGGCGATGATGACTGGTCCTCCTTTCGGGCCGGTCATAGACACTATGATGATCGACGATGACGAAGAAGCTAGTGATGAGGGAGCTTCTTTACATAGAAGGATACGATCCTAATCATCTTAATAGGATGATCGACCTGTTGGGATAATTGAAACAACTAAAGATGACACCTCAACACTTTGGGGAGAATTTGATTTGGTAGATAATGCCAATTCCCGCTCTCGGGCCCCAATTGTTGTAACCGGTACTGCGAGGTTGAGTACCAGGTCCGTGTCATCTTTGGTTGGAAAGCATCAAATAACCAGCACTGTATTTGATGTAGCTGCTTCACACTCTTCAACTCCATCGGCTTCATCTCCACCTTCACCACCACCAGCAACTGCCACATCATTTCCATCTTCTTCCACTCTTCAAACTACGGTTGCTACATCATCTCCATCGTCCGCACCTGACCATGAAGAAGGTATCCCTCCTCCCCAGTCCCCAGTTCATGGGAATTTGGGGCAAAATTATGCTGCCCCTTCTGAAGATCCACAAAAGAGTAGGAGTGTTACCCTTTCGGTCTCCACCGGGTGCAACTTACTTTCAAGGCCGGTGGAGCTTGCTAACTATCTGAAGCCTTTGGCTTCAGAAAAAGTTTGGGAGATGATTCAGACACTATCAGGAGAGTGTTTGTTGAACAATGCTATGCATAACGCCGCGGTGATACGTTTCTTTCATCCTCTGTTATTTCCCCTACTCTTGAAAGCATGTATTTTGAGTTTTACCTCTTCTTGTTTTGCAGGCCAATTTTCTTGCTTATGAGAGCCTTCAAAGGCTGATTCGTGAGAAGAAAGAACTTACTTATGAACGGGATAAGCTTTTGGCGAAACGGGACCAAACTGTTCTCCACCTCTCAGAACTAGAAAATAGAGCCACCAAGGCCGATATTTTGGAAACTTGTTTGCAGCAAAGCGAGCAAGAAGTGATAACCCTCAGCCAATAAGTTGGCCCGCTAAAGGTTAGATTTGATAAAGCCAAGGCTAAATGGGCTGAAGTCTAGGATGCCATTCTTGCTGCAACCGATCGTGAGGCTGCCTCTGCTAAAAGAGTGATTAACTTAGAGGTAAACTTAAACTCCAAATGCGAAGCGCTTGCTGCTGTGGTAGCGAAATATGCCCAGTTGGAGGAGAAGTACAAGAAAACTATCGAGCATAATAGACTCTATAGTTTAACTGTCCGTGAGCTCGATGTCAGTCTCAAATCTGCTAGGTCCGCCGGGGAAAATCTTTCTGCCGAAATTAATCAACTCAAAGAAGAATTCAAGCGCCGAGCGGATTCCCTCATTGTTGAAAAAACTTATTCCATGTATAGTATGAGGAGAAAAATCTTAGAAGAGGCCAAGACCGGTATCATTGACATTGATGCTAAAACTGTTAAGGCCAAAGAGCTTGAGTTGGCTACAAAAAATGGACTTCCGGCACAGTCTGACGCTCTAGGTTCTTCTGATTACGGTTACGAGTTTTCGAAAACTAAAGAGGTATTGGAAGGTGATGATGCCGAAGACCAAGCTGGGGAAAACGTTGAGCAATCGGCAGAACCAACTCCCGGGAATACATATACTTCTCTTCCTCTTGATTTTAGAGACGCTGAGGCTTAGTTTTTTTCTTTATTTTTTTATTTTGTACCTTTATCACTCTGACTTGCCCTTATAAATAAAAACATATTTTTTGCCCAAGTAACGTTTGAGTCTTATTTTCGTTTTGAATATTCATGTATGTCTTTAACTTTCGTGCTTGCTTAAGTATTTTGTGCACGTTGTTCTGTTCGTGCTTTATTGTGTGTAATCTTGGATGCCTTTTCTTCAAAGCATTTCGGTTCAGAGAATTATCCCTTTTACATGAGGTTTTAAAAAAATATTTTCGCGAGTTTGCTTTTTGCGTCTTTTTCGTATGCAACTTCGGGTGTATTTTACCCCGATGGCATTATGGATTTCAGGCATTGATTCTTCCGAAACCAACCCTTTAACATGAGGATTTTTATAAGAGAGGGCCCTCTTATATTTACGATGGTCTTGAAGAGGACGTCTCTTGTTCATTACGTCACAAACATTTGAAGTACTTGTTTAACTTTCAAATGATGAAATTAATCATCGTTCAGATAAGAAACAAGATAAAAATAAAAGGATTTCATTTAAATTAATTCCGTCTATTTTCAAACGTACATAAGCATTTTGCTATGTAGAAAAGAAATTGTCATGACTTGTGGCTATAAAAAAAATTGCCATGACTTGTGGCTATCTTGTACAACTTGTTTCTATGGGGCTAGCTATGCAGTCTCCAGTCCCGATGATGTATTATGTTCGGAATTGATGTTCCCCGGTTGAGGTTCCATTCAGTGTTGCCATAACCTCATATCATTCCCCTCAGTGTTCGAATGCGAAGAATGCAAATTGGAACTCTGGAAGCCTTGTACCTTTGAAGATCCCACCAATGAATTGCTAGGTAATCCTTCACTCGGAAACATATCTTGATTCCCATTAGGAACCCATGCTATCGGGTGAAAGAATACCTAACAATCCTCTAGTGGTTTGTGCTCGTAACGATCGGGTAACCTCTTTTCGGTAGCAAACTTAATTTCCCGTTGGGAATTTTCTATCGAAGCAAAGATTATATAATTGTCCCCGAGTGGAAACTTGATTATTTGCCTTGTTATCAAAGGTCTTATCACTAATGTGTTCGTAGTATGATTTCCGTCACACCCTCATTAAAAAACTTGCTAGAAAAACCCAATTGGGACAAAAAATGAACGAAGGGAAAAAGAGTACAACACATACTTTCCGTTTGACTATTGTTCGTCAGAAGTAATATCTTTTGAGGTGATCCACGTTCCAGTTGCTGGGCAACTTGTCTCTGTTTTGGTTCTCCAACTCGTATGATCCTTTCCCAGTGATAGTTGAAACCCGGTAAGGGCCTTCCTATGTTGGGCCTAACTTGCCCGAGTTGAGTTCCTGGGTATTTTGAGTTACCTTCCTCAAGACGAAGTCTCCTACTTTGAAATATCGGAGGTTGGCTTTTCGATTATAATAACGCTCCATTATTTGCTTTTGGGCTTCCATTCTGACATGCGCCAAGTCCGTGCGTTCCTCGAGCAGTTCCAAGTTGATTAGCATTTCTTCGTTGTTTGATCCTTCGCTCGCCTCAAAGTACATTAAGGTTGGTTCCCCCACTTCCACCGGTATCAAAGCTTCTGCACCCTATACAAGGGAAATAAGGGTCTCCCCCATGCTTGACTTGGCCGTTGTTCGGTAGGCCCATAGAACCCTAGGTAATTCTTCGGGCTAGCTGCCTTTTGTTGATCTAACCTTTTCTTGAGGTTTTGAATAACCACTTTGTTTGTTGACTTAGCTTGACCATTTGCATTCGGATGATAAGGTAAAGAGGTAATCCTCTTTATCTTCAAGTCTTTAAGGAATTTGGTACCTTTTGCTCCAACAAACTGCAGCCCATTGTTGCACGAAATCTCTTTTCGTATTCCAAACCTACAAATTATATTTTTCCACAGGAAGTCAACCACTTCGCGTTCTCCGATCTTCTAATAAGGACATGCTTCCATCCTTTTAGAAAAATAGTCAGTCAAAATTAAAAGAAATCTTACCTTTCCAGGAGCCAGTGGTAGTGGTCCGATGATGTCCATCCCCCATTTCATGAATGGCCACGGGGATAGAACCGAATGTAGGGGTTCTACCGGTTGATGTACTAGTGGTGCATAGCGTTGGCACTTATCACATTTTCGTATGAAGTTTTTGGCATCTTGTTCCATACGGGGCCAGTAATATCCTGCCCGAACTAATTTCAACACCAAAGAATCTGCACCCGAGTGGTTGCTGCATATCCCTTCATGAACTTCTCTCATGACATAGTTAGCTTATGATGCTCCTAGGATTTTCTGAACAATTGGCTATAACGTGCAACTTTGGCGTGCAACGCTCTTGATTCTTTGGGGTTTTCAGGCAACTTTCCATGCTTGAGATAATTGATTATTTCATTTCTCCAGTCCTAGACCAAACTAGTCGAATTTACCTCATAGTAACCATCTGTGTCCAAGGTTGAGTTCATCAGTTGTACTTCCGTCCCTGATTCTGATCCTTGGATTTCTGTTGATGAGCCCAAATTTGACAATACATCTGCCTCCGTGTTATATTTCCTCGGGATATGAGTTATTGACCACTCCCGTAATCGTGCCAATAGAGCCTAAACCTTTACCACGTATTGTTGTATACATTCCTCTTTGGTATCAAAAATTCCGTAGACCTGATTTACCACCAACTACGAATCACATTTGATTTCGATGACTTCAGAGTCGAGTCCCCGATCCAATTCGAGCCCTGCAATCAAAGCTTCTTACTTTGCTTCATTGTTAGTAAAAGGAATCGTTCTGATGGCTTGCCTTAAGGTTTCCCCCGAAGGTGTGATTAAAACTATTCCGATCTAGGACCCTTTTACGTTTGAAGCTCCGTCCGTAAATAAGGTCCAAACTACCGATGTCGATTCTGACACCATTATTGCCTCCTTAGCTGCCTGAGGCAATAGTCCCAGACTGAAGTCGGCCACAAAGTCAGCCAAGACTTGCGACTTAATTGAAGTCCTCAGTTTATACTCTATATCGAATTCTCTCATTTCGACGACCCATTTGGCCAATCTACCTGAGAGCTCGGGTTTATGAAGGATATTCCTCAAAGGGAAAGTAGTTATTACAATTATCGGGTGGCATTGAAAGTAGGACCTCAGCTTCCGAGCGGCGACTACGAGAGCTAAGGCCAGCTTTTCCAGATGTGGGTAGAGTGTTTCTTCTCCTGTTATAATCTTTCTAACATAATAAACTGGAGATTGCGTTCCTTCATCCTCTAGGTCTAAAACTGCACTCACCGCAACTTCTGAAACCGTGAGGTTGAGTAGCAATGTTTAACCTTCCTTCGGTTTTGAGAGAAATGGAGGGCTTGACAAATATTTCTTCAACTTCCTCAAGGCTTGCTGAGACTCCGGTATCCACTCGAGCCTTTGGAATTCTTTTAGGTTAGACAATTGATCCAGGATGCCCTCTATGGCCTTGATTTTGTCGGGATTTACCTCAATTCCCCTTTGTGATATTAGGAATCTTAGGAACTTACCCAAACTAACCCCGAAAGCACACATCTCGCGGTTAAGTTTCATATTATGCTCCCTCAGGATGTCGAATGTTTCTTGCAAATGCTTCAAGTGGTCACCTATATTCATAGACTTAACGAGCATATCATCTATGCATACTTCCATAGTCTTTCCTATTTGTTTTTCAAACATCTTATTCACGAGCCGTTAATAAGTGGCTCCGGCATTTTTTAGCCGGAAGGGCATCACATTGTAACAATATATACCAAAACTAGTTATAAAAAAAGTCTTTTCCTGATCTTCTGGGTTCATCTTGATTTGATTGTACCCAGAATAAACATCGAGAAAATTCATTAACTCATGCCCAGCCGTATAATCAATCATTTGATCGATATTTGGTAATGGGAATGAGTCTTTCGGGAACGCCTTATTAAGATCCTTATAATCTACGCACATGAAAAATTTATTATTTTTCTTAGGTACTACTACAACTACATTGGCTAGCCAGTCCATATATCTTACCTCTCGGATTGAACCAATCTTAAGTAAATGAGTTATCTCTTCTTTGACTAATTTATTCCTTGCTTCAGCAATAAGGCGCTTCTTTTGCCTTACCGGAGGTATGTTGGGATCCAAGCTTAAATTGTGTATGGCTATCTCTGTTGGGATGCCTGTCATATCTTCGTGCGACCATGCAAAACAATTGGCGTTAATGTTAAGGAATTCAATAAAAGCAGACCTGTGCCCCAGGTGCAATCCTGTTCCCCAATGGAATTTCCTTTCTATGAATTCTTCGAACAATGCAACCTGCCCCAATTCTTCTGTCGTGGACTTCATCGCGTCCGTCTCTTCCGGTACTTGAAAATACCTTGGTACCTGATATTGTTCCGACTCTTCTGTCCCCGGATTTATCTTCCTCTGGCTCGGGGGCAGGTGTTGGTTCCAATAAATGCTATGCCGCATGTTCCTTTCCATTGCTACTGGAAACTAAAATTGCATTTATCTCCCTTACTGCCGGTTGGTCACCCCTTATCTCTTTGATACCCTCGGGTGTAGGAAACTTTAATAATTGGTGATATGTTGAAGGCATAACTTTCATCTTGTGCAGCCATGGTCTTCCCAAGATGATATTATATCCCATGTCTCCATCTACCACCTCGAAGAGAGTTATCTTCATTACTCCCTCAGTGTTCGTAAGCAGTATAATTTCTCCCCGAGTTGTCACGCTTGCGAGGTTGAATCCAGCGAGGAGTTTTGTTGCTAGGATAATGCTTCCGGTGAGTTTAGCTTGCTCCAGTACTCTGCATTGTATGATATTAGCGGAACTTCATGGATCCACTAAAACACGTTTAATTTTAAAATCCAACACATTTAAAGAAATTACTAGTGTGTCATTGTGCGGCAGTAGTAATCCATCAACATCTTCATCCGTGAATGCGATATCGTCTTCCCGGATCCTTTTACTATGAGTTATCGATACTTTTGTCTTCTTTGCTGCTGAAAAGTTGACCCC